AGAACCGAGTGGTGACGTTGGTGCAAGACGCTACCAGGCCACCAGGTCAGTAAAACAGCCCCTCGCAAACACTCAGCTCTCAGGCCGGCTGGACTCTGCTCGCTGCCAGCGCGTTGATCTTCTGGAGGCCCTCGAGGTCCGGGTTGCTCAAAAGGACCGACCAAATGGCGTTGGAAACATTGCCATTTCCATTCTGGCAGGAAAACTTCAAGCGCTGGGTGTGGTCAGGGTCCACTTCCAAGGCCACATCTCGCGGGGCCGCAGTCGGCTCCACCCGCTTGTAATACTCAAGCCTGGACTTCACCAAGCTGTTGTACAGCTGTTGAGGTGGCTCGTCCAAAATCAATTGGAGGTTGACTTTGGCTCCCCGGTGCTCTCCAATCAATTGGACAAAGCGGGAAGCTCCTTTCCCTTGTCGCCAAAAGCCCTGGCAGGCCTTGCAAACCCAGCCTCCACGAGTCACTCCAGCCTCTTTCGTCTTCAGTTCCCAGGGACTGATACTGCTGAGGATGAGCCCGCAATCGGTGCGGCCCCAAAAGGCATGGACTCCACGGTGGCCATAGTGCTCCCGCTTGTACTTGGGGCTGCATATGGAGACCACATTTTCCACGGAGAGCTCGGGGTACTTACCGGTGCCCGAAGCTACCGTAGTCGCCCGCAGAGCCTCCGGCTCCAGTGCCGTCTTCAAGAAGCCATCAATCTCTGCCTGGGAGTAGCCCAGACGCCAATAGAAGCTCTCCGCCTTCTCATGGGGGACCAGGGCAACCCACCATAGCTCACAGTTGCACCTCCAGGCGACTTGCACTTGGACCATGCTGTGGGCCCCCAGAGTGGCTGACAGTGCCTGGAAAACGTCCGGGAGCTGCCTGAAAGCATCCAAAGGCAAGGTGATGCGCTCGTCACACACCGCTCGAAAACGGAGCTGCTCCTTTGTGTCCTGGATGTCTTGCTCGGGCAAGTCCAAGACCACCGCTGGGGTTCTGGCTAAGAAGACCGAAGCAGCCAAAAAGCTGCCAATTTCTTTGTAGAGCAGCCTGATCTCGTGTTGTGATTGGGGAAACCGGAGGCCCACACTAGTGAGGAAGGACTTGATCTCTGAAGTCCTCTGCCGGTGTGCCGCCAACTCTGCCACCTTCTTCTGGCGGATGCCTTCTCCCTGTCCTCGGCGCATGGACTTGATGATCAGAGGCATGCCGCACCAAGCCTGGTAGATCTCCTTGAACGTCCAGGACTGTCCAAAGATCGTGATCATGGAGGGAAGATCCCATGACTGCACCCTTCGAACCAGGTGGGTATCGTCGGTGCCAGAAGCTACCGCCGTCCCCGGGGCCCAAAAGAAGCCAATGATCTTGTCCAGGTCGGGTCGCTTGCCATCGGCAATCTGCTGCAGGACCACCTGTTCCGTGTAGATGCTGGGCGTGTAGAAGGAGGTGCCCAGCGGGTTTGTCCTGAGCTCCAAAGCCAAGACCTCAGTCGTAGGTGCAGGTTTCGCCCAGGCAGGTGCCGTGAGCGGGCCCTGTCGCAGTTCCCACTCTCCGCCCCAGGCTCTGACTTCACCTTTGTGGTACTGCAAGATGGAGTCAAGGATTGCGTACTTGCGTTCAAGGCTGTCAGGCGGAAGGAGTCGTGCTAACTGGGCCTCTTGGGAAGATACGTCTCCTTCCCCATGGTGTACATGTCGAGTTGAGTTTTAGGAACTCCGTCATGAGGCGGTCCTGGGAGAGCGGAGGCCTGTTGTCCTTGATGAGCTCCTTCATGCGAAGGTAGGGTTGTTTGAGGGCCTCCATGTCAAACTGTTCAGGTCCTTGTGGTCCCATGGCCGGCGCGAAGATATTGCTCTGCCACGCCTCTTGCAGAGCTGGGGTCCAAAGTGAGAAGGGCGCCACGTCGATGGGCTTGAGAGCCTTGCGGCGGTCTCTGAACTCCGTGTCAAGGGCCTTGTTGGCAGCCGCCGCTTTGTCCTGTGTTGTCTGTGCTGCCACCAAAGCTTCATAAGAGGAAGTGAGACCACTTTCTTCGTGTTTTCGCTTGAGGTAGGACCGAAACTGCTGGAGGTCAGCGTGGCGAAGCATTTTGGCACTGACCGGATTCTGGGTTTCCTGCGCACCCTGCTGGATGGCAGTCAAGGTGTGTAGCTCATCCTCCATCGCCACAGTCTCTTGCTGATGCTGAATCTCCTTCTTCCTCTTTTTGGCCTCCTGTGCTGCTTCTGTGAGCTCTTCTTCTGGTGTTGCCAACAAGTCAGCCTTGAAGCGCATCAGTTCAATAGCCTTCGGATGAAAGATCACCGCAGTTTGAGTAGAGTCTCGATCATCCATAGTGGGGGGGCGCACGCCATCTGGATGAAAGATCTCGTCCTGCCCGAAGGCCACCACGTGCTGCTGCAGTGTCAGGCGCTGGGAGGCAGGCACTTGCTCCGAAAAGCTGACCAACCCCATACCGGCGCCCGAAGCTGCCGCAGGGGGAGGTCGGCCCAGATCGCCCACTTCCACAAAGCCCGAGGCCTTGGTGACCTTAGTGTCTGTTGGGACCCAAGTCGGTCCAGCCTCAGTAAGCCTCAGTTGCCAGGACTGGCCGGCCACCTCAATCACCGACAAAGGTGTCACTGACAGGTCAACAGGCTGAGAGCCTTGGCAAAGCAAACATTTGGATAACTTCCCCCACGGTGCATTGCAATCAGAACAAACTAATTGCGGAGAAGTCCCAGGGTCCGTCTCTTTCAAATTCACCATGGAGCCCCCACGCTGCGTAGTGTGCCGGAGTTTCAACATCTGTGTGTGGACAGCCTCGCGCTTCGAGATGTGATACACCTCTGCGATCTTGACCACCAAGGATGCCGTCCACGGAGAACTGCGGAAAGCGTCCAACAGGGAACGCAGCTCACCATGCGTAATGTCTCTGAAGTACTTGGCAGCAGAGTGAGGTAGGGCCGGAACCAAGGGTGCCCAGCCTTCGATGGTGAAGGTCTCTGTGGCCGGATCCATGTGGAGCGTCAACGTCTCCTTCTCTAAGGTCTGTGGTGTCTGAGCTGGAGTCGGTGCCTCAGCCTGGACGAACCCCGACGGAGGTTTCACACTTGACGCTGCCACACCTGTCTCCGGCTTGGGTTCCAAGCCCAAATTTTCCATCACTTTCTCCATCTCATGGAGCTGCGAAGCCAGTGTCTCCTTGGTGATGGCGGGATCATCTTCAAACTCTGTCGTAACCTCGGCCGGCGCAGCCTCAGTCACCGGTGTGGAAAGCAACATGTAATCGTCCCCTGCATCCATTTCTGTTCCAATCAATGAGAAGGAGCCCACGGTGCCAGTCTCACTTGCCACTGGACTAGAAGCCGCCATAGGCAAGACAAGAAGATCGGAACGTCTTTTTCGAAAGTATTGGATCACAGGGGGAACAGCTTGAGCCAAAATGGCATAGCCATTTTGGCAACTATATCGTCAACACATTACTTGCTCTCCACAAGTTCCAAGCAAAGAAACAAATATACCTGGAATATAACTGGAATATTGTATTCTGGCTCATAACAGCTCAGAACTAGGATCAATTATATACCTAGTGTTTCACCTTGTGGATGTTCTTCTCGCAACTCATTTCTTTCGAAAAGCCTGTTCTATTTGAGAAAACTCTTGCATCTCCCTCCATCCTTAACCCAGGAAGCAAGCAAAAAATATGATTCATGATGACTCACAAGCATCAAACGTTGCACAAATCCAAGTAATGACTGCCATGTTTTTTGCCGGTCTGAATCCTAGAGGTCCAGGGATACAAATCAAAAAACACGTGCCGATTTTTTTCAGCGCAACACACGGCCATGTCGTCAAGTCATAGGACCTTCCAAAACCATGCTTTGTCGAATTCCTGTCCCGTGATGTTCCATGTAACACCAACCGAAACCATCAACCCTATCCTGCCATCTCGTGTCCAACCCCGGCACCTTCCGTACTTGGACATGCGGAATCATGGCAGCCGAGAGCGATAGGTGCTGTGTTTAAATCAAAGGGACAATTTTCAGGGAGCATGTGCTTTTGCATAGCGTTCGGCACTGAAAAAATACTCATAACAATGCTAATTATAAGTTGTTGCTTTTCTGGCCATGAGGTGATGACGTTTGGGCCCATCGTGCGGCAAAGCAAAAAAAAATCGTATCAACGTTGGTGCATGTTGGTTCTACATATCCCATCACATCAAATTTTGGTGGAAATGGATGGAAATGGGGTAAACCCAACGCCACAAATCTCCAATTGTTGATGGTTTATGCCTATGCGTTTCTTGTAAGCTAGGAAGTCAATGTTTCACCACTTTCCACCCACATTTTGATTGTCTCATTAAACAACTGCTTGTCATCCCTGCAACATCCAATTTTGAGCTTGGTGCCATGTCGCCATGCGCCACGCAAGGTGTACAATAATTGGAGTAGAACTACTGTCGCTTTGTCTGCAAAATATCCGCCAACCCCGCTTGCAGCAGGGGGAGCGCTCAGAGGAGAAATTACCAGCAGCAAGTGTCCGTTCAGACCTGCAAGACGCAGCAAGCAATTTGGAAGCTGGTAGGGCAGGAAGTCAAGCAAATTGAAGGTTCGAAGCTAGTTTCTAGGCAGTTCAGAAAGCAACGTTTGGCACTATGGGCTGTCGGCCACGGGCCCGATCCGTCCTTCACTGCCATTGTGTTTTAGCCCTGCGAGACCGTCCTGACAAACCCATAGATATCCTGAATATTGGGAATGGGCTAAAGATGGCTAAAGCCTTCTGGATATATGTTATCAGTCCCAAACCTGATTTGATAGTGGCGAACTGCTCGATGCTTTGTGGCTTGCAGCCCAACTTCGGCTAACTTTACCAACCCGCAGTTCGGGATAGGAATTGATGTTTCCCCTTGTTTTTTTTCGATGGTTTCTGTTTTCTTATCCAATTGGGGACCGCTTCAAAGAACCAGCCGCCAGATCCATAGCGGTAGCAGGCCCTGGATCAAAGGCTTTTGCTCAATGACTTCTAATTAAAAACCTATCCAAAATCATCTGTGGGGCCTTCCATTTCCCATCGGATCCATCGGTCATTGAAGGGCTTGGCTTGAAAAGGCTGCAATCTTTTGACAGCGCCCTTTCCATCAGCTTCAGAAGAACCCTCCGCAAAACACAGCCGGAAGACCCCCTGCAGTCGGCCAGATCCCCCATTTTTCGGGGCACCAAGCGGCATTGCTCAGTTCTTGCCCCACCATCCGACGCGCCGCAAGGACCTAGGCTCACAGTGCTGCTGCTGACACACCTCGTCCTGAATCATTCTCTTCCAAATGGGCCGTGGTCAATCCATCCCATAGTGGGAATGCTTATAATGGGATTTGAAAATTACATCTTCCTCTATTGGATTGATGACCATGATGACCATCCCCCAATATAGATACATGTCTTATCATTTCTTGCAAAATTGGAGCATTTTACGCATGTCGGAAAGTCCTTCATAGAAAACACACCCGTCACACCCGTCACATCCGTCACCCAAAGATGGCACACGTCCGTGCTCTTGGGAACCCCCGCATGGTCCATCCTGGGCAGATTTTAAAAAAACGCCTTCTATCTGAACTCACATTGAATACTCCCAAGTGACTACGGCTCCAATAAACTAAGTATCTAAACACATGATTTTTTTCATCAGATTGGACGGTATTTGGTTTTGCTATTCTATGATGCATGAACAAATTGGGAGCACTCAACAACCATCCAGGGACATCCGCAAATGGGGTTTCCCGACAGGTTCACACTTTGCGGCGTGGCCACTGCGGCTGTGGCCTTGTTTAGGCCGAGTGCTGAACCACTGGCACTGGCGACTGGTGGGTGTGAAATCATCCCCAAATGGCCACTTCAGTAGGAAACATTATGCCATTGGATTTTGGATATATTTTCCTCTATTTTCAAACAAACCCAATTCAAATCAGCCTTAAATTTCATTTAATTTCTACCACGCGCACAGTGGCACAGCATGGTGCCAGGATGCCACACGGACCATGACCACGGCAATGCCAAGGCTTGCCAGCAGCTGGAAAAAGCTTTCCCCATCACGGTTGAATGGCTGGTGGTTCCAAACTTCAAATCTTTGAACGTGGAAAATTGGGGGTTTCCCATGGGGTTAAACCATGTTTTTCCTAAGTGTGTTTTGCGACAGGTTCTCATTTCACGGGGAAACCATGTTGGTGTTTATGCACATGGGGGGAGCTGTCAATTTTCCAGGAAGTTCTGGCTCTGAAGCTTCAATACCCACCACAGTTGAAACAACATTCCACAAAACCACCGTTCGGGTTGGTCAAAGGCCGAATTTTGCCTGGTTCTGTACATGTGTTTCTTATAATTGAATCCCATGACCCAAGATGACCCAAGACTCTCTTTGTTTTTTCACTGTGACAGCAGGCCGGGGCAACGCCAAAGCTGAGATCCAGAAAACATGGTTTGCAGCTGCAAGTCCACGATGTCAGTGAGAATTCGCTCCCCACCTGCCCTGAATTCCTGGGTCCCACTCTCCCCACAAATCCGCTGTGTTTTCCTCAGGAAAGGCCACAGATCCCAAGCTGCACCGTGGAGCTTGGAACAAGTCTGGGTCGGGTCTAGAAAATCTCGAAACTTTCCGTCCATCCAAAATGCGCCGCGGAGATTGAACGACTCTTGTAGGTCAGCGACCCTGTGCGGTCTGAGAAGATTCCGTTCTTTCAGGCGGAGCAAGTCTCCCTTTGTCCGACTTGGCGAGCAAGTCAGCGTGCAACCGCATATGTTGCTTTTTCAGGGGAACAATCAGACTTCTCACCTCAGCCTAGAAATCAAAGGAGCATCCAGGCTGAACAACACTCCGACACAAGAGGGATTGTTACATTCACGCTTGGCTGAACCTTTGGCCCGCGTCTTACTCACAATCGGATTGGCATGCAGCAAATATGAGTCAAATATGTTTGGCACGGAAATTGAATAGTTGCAGTGTTGTAGGCCCAGAAAGAAAAATATACTTGTTCTTGATCGGGCAAGATGAAACAGCTGGTTGAACCAGCTTCACCACCCAGCATGTGGCCACATGCGGCCTAGGTCAAATTCTCACTACAGATTTTGGTCATCTCGCAACATCTAAGCACGTGCAAAAACAAAGGAGGCCTGAAACACAATATGTGAGCTGCAGTTCTGGAGAGCACAGGGCTTTTGGACAGCGCGAAGCACTTCCATGTCAGCCGCAAAGGATTTCTCAACACGAGTCATCAAGAATGATAAGTCACCATGACTGTCTTGCGAGCATTTCGGACAGGAACGCAGCTGCTATCAGTTGGTCAGTACCCTTTGGGGCCTAAGAAAGTCAACTTAGCTGCGCAGGGCCAATGCTCATCCCATGAAATCGATGAAGCATTGGCTATAGAGTGCATGGACTCGGATCCACATTCAAGTACCTTCACCTGGTCACCCAAGACTATGTGAAAATATGGGTCCCGTCCCAAGCTTCAATCAGCTGAATGGACAGCCACACCTAGGCTAAAGCAGGACTTACCCTATGCATCCAGTTACATCTCCGTCTCCGGCTGACACCTGCGTTCGGTCGTGCATAGCATTGTCGGACGTCTTTGCCAGGCTGGTTGCAGTGGAACATCATTCCCGCCATTCCCGCCTGCTTTGAATCATCCAGTCGAAGTTAGTGGGCAGGCAAACGGCTGGGCAAGAGCCTGACATGGAAGGTGGGCCCCCCCCAATTATAAAGTGGTTTCGTCATATATCCTCCTTGTCCAGAAAAAATAGTGGGAAACCTGTTTTTTTTTCACTTCTGGAAATTGAAAACGTGCCCCGTTAGCTCATTCTTGGTGCCATCTACCCACTGGCTGGGAAATGGTCTGCGCCATCTACTCTCACCCCGGAGTATATGAAAGGGCTGCAGAGATTTGCAAATGTGAAAATTATGTGGGATCTAGCCATTTTTTTGACGGTCTCTGCGGAAATGTTGCTGGGCGCAAACATCATTGTCGTTCTTTACAACTTCCTTGGGACACTTTGTGTCCGTATTGCCCCTGTCCAGCAGATTCCGCAAATTTCAGCACTTCAATGCACTTGGGTGGATTATCTGTTAGTATTTTAGCACATGTAGAAGGGATCAAATCAATGGAACAACGTGCAAAAAGTGTGCAAATTTTAATTTCAGCTCAACCTGCGAGGATTTTGGTGTTGGTCGACTGTCTTGTTTCTTCGGAGATCTTTTTTTTTGTCCCCTCTATGGGCTTTGGTATTTGCTAGCTTCTCTCGCTATCACCCTATGCATCCAGTTACATCTCCGTCTCCGGCTGACCTCTAGATCCAATTTCACTTGAGATGGCGGGCCACTGGAAACGTGGTAGTTCGGATTCAAGCTGTTGTCGTTCGCTTGTAAAGGCGGTTGCTCAAACATGCAGCTGCTACCGGGGCCGTTGTCTTAAAACTTCTCAAATAGCCTAAATGACTACATCAAATGTAATTACATGTTGTACAAGAACGAGGAGTTCCACAACATTTTCCTGCCAAAAGGCCCTTGACTTTCGAATCTCGATGCAGTATGATGTACTATGGGACTGTCACTAGCGCGAGATGGTCGCATGTAGAACGACCTCCTCACAATTTCCGTATTATTTTGACGGGAAAGATCACTTTTCAGGGCGGTTCGGGAACATCGCCAGGGCGGGCCAGCAGAATGCCGGGTCCTAGCCTCCCTAGCAAGGTTGCTGATTAGCGTAGGTCATTGAGCGGGCAACAAATAACCTGATGTGTCAATTTGCAAAACATGTTGTTGATGTAAAGGCAACGAATCTCTCAATATCTCTCAATATAGTGTTCTGCTGAACTTATGGTGATTTGGTTGGCCCTGAACCAGGAGGAGGAGTTCCACAACGCATTGTCTTGGCCTGCGAAAAGCTCCTTGACTTTAAAACCTCTGTGCCCTCTATGCAGCACGACGTCTGTGGATGGAGCAATCCCTTGGATTGTCACTACTAGTAGCTGGTATGCAGAACGACCTGATAACGTCTGCAAAACAATGACCATCTTGCGCTGCTTGAGACACTGGACTGCGTTGCAGAAAACCAAGAAACAGCGGCAATTTGTTCTTCAACACCAGTATCCCTACCCCTATAGAGGGGGAGGGCGGGGGGGACAAAACCAACCTGTCGAATTCCACTTCTTTTTGCGGCACGTTCCAGACAATGCAGTCCATGACAAGAATTAAATTTGAATTTAATTCCTGCTTGAAGGTCAAATGAAATTCAAATTGAATTCTTCTTTAGATTCGATTCCAAGCTTTTTTTGAATCCGATTTTCATGCTCATCCAATTTCAGTACGGTTCCCCCCTCCTCAAATTCCATTTTTAAGAGGGTAGGGATACACCAGTAAGGCAACTTGCAGGGTCTGCGCTCGGGTTCTTTCAGGTCGAGTGTCTCCGGGATCTCCTTTTCAACTTGATTTTCTCAAGATCGTTCTTCCCTGTAGCAAGTTTGCTTTGCTCCTTCCAGTGTGGCCCAGTGCTGAATTCGTGAAATCCTCCGCTGGCAATTGGATCAGCGACATATCCACTGGGGAAATGGCGGGACGCAGTTTTGGCTGGCAAACCTTGAAACACGACGGACGACGAAAGAACATCAACGTGCAGAATTCATTACCCCCCATCTCAACCCAAGTGTTTGTCTATGGGACCTCCGGGAACCCAAAAGAAAAGAAGAGGCGTGAACCGTTGAGATCGTTGAGATCGTTGAGACAGGCTACCTTTGAGAGGGGCGCATAGCATGTTTCATGCGTATCTGCAGGGTTTGTTTTATTTTTTGGGGGGTGGCCGTTGAGACAGAAGCATCAGTTTGGGAAAACACCTTGCCCTGGGAAAATCCTTGGAATGTGGGATGTTTGTGAGAGAGTACTTCTGACCAAATCCCCTTTGTCGAAACCAATCAAACACGAGGCTCGGTCTATTGCCAAAAGGTCTTGTTCTTCTGAAGGCGCTAAGGAAAGTCTTGCGCGGCAGCTCACGCGCTGCTTACACATTGTGATTTCTGAGGATTTGTGCGTTTGGCATGTTCTAGGAATTCGCAATCATTTTTAGAAATGTGGCACGAATTGCAAAGGCAACAAAAATGCTACGAACAGGGCTACAGGATAAGTACCGTTCAATCCTGTGCTGCTTGAAATGCTCGCCAGTCTCCCAGAATGTAATTAACTGTTTTCAACCATATTCGGCATTGGGAGCCCAAGCCTGACAAAAAAAAAAGGCAAAAACCTACTTTGGATCTGCATGCTCCGAAACATTCGACACGCATTGGGTGAACCACTTTCGATGTTCAAGGCGTTTCGTCTTGCCTCGGGGCCCTTGCCCGAGCATCTCAGAGATGGACGGGCGATCTTATGAAGCGAAGTCTTGGACCAAGAGATCACGGAATGTTAAGTTAAGTGATCAGCTGCGATCTGGTCTGAGTTCGTCTGCTTCAGAAGCTGCAGTTTGCGCTCTGCTACTCCGATGCCAGCTGCATGATGGTTTGCGTCGAACTTGCGCCTCAACATTTAATCGTTGGTTGGCAAGTCCCACCTTTCCATACGACCCTGCTGTCACACTTCACATATCTCCAAAAATCTTCATTACCATCATATATCATGGCA